CTGCACCCTTTTGCAGTCTGGGAGCCCTCAGCAGTCGGACATCCTTAGTGCTGCAGTGGAGTCGGGAGAGGCTCCCGCCACCGCCACAGAGCTCACCAGCTGAGAGCCTGGCTTCTGGCTGAGCAACACTCTCCTGTGGGAGCACACTGACCACCAGGGGGAAGCTCCTGCATTGAGTGTCTGTCCCCTGGTGGTCAGTGTGCATCATAGCAACTGGCCGTTCCACTGTTTGGTAAATTTGCATATTAGCCTTTTATTATATAGGGTTATTATTATTATTATTATTATTATACTTCTGCGTTTTCTGTCTATTTGTGTTTATCTCCCACTAACTATGGGTCTTTGAGGGCAGAGCATGCCCACATTTTCTATGCACATGCTCTGAGCATGTTTAATAAATGAATGAAGAGGTCTTTTTGTATCACAGCCAGACGAAGCAGTCTTACCACCCCAGGCCAATTTGCAAGTGGCCTTTATCTTGCTCTAATTAACAGAAGCAGCCCTTGGGAGAGGCGGTCCTCACACCTCTGGATGATGTATGATGTGTGAACATGTGGTGATTTGGGATGCCTTTGGCCCCTTAGTCTCAGAGCAGGTCTTGGGGTGGATGCATTGGTAGGAGTGGTTGCATCGCAGTGAGCAGATGCTCAGACTTATGTGAAGAAAATAGGAGATGTAGCAGCTTGTCACCATGTACCCCAAATCCTTCTGAGGTTCAGACCTGGGGTCTCACAAGCATTTGAAACCTGTAAATGGCTGTTCTTACACACCCACAACTCTTTTTAAAAAAATATATATTTTATTGATTTTTACAGAGAGGAAGGGAGAGGGATAGAGAGTTAGAAACATTGATGGGAGAGAAACATCAATCAGCTGCCTCCTGCACACCCGCTACTGGGGATGTGCCGCAACCAAGTACATGCCCTTGACCAGAATCGAACCTGGGACCCTTCAGTCCACAGGCCGATGCTCTATCCACTGAGCCAAACTAGTTAAGGCACAACTCTTTTATTTGTAATGCCAAACTGGTTCCTTGAACAAGCCACGTGCAAAGGTGTGTGTATGATACAAATAACAGCATGAGGCTAATGACTAGAGACACACAGTATCCTATGTTTCAAGATTACCATTAGCCCACGGATCTGGATTTTACTGAGACTTGCTAAAAATGAATTTTCAGAAGGAAGAGGAATCATATCGTGTTTCCTGTGTGTTTTTTTTTTTTTGTCTTTTCTCTGCTTTTCTATCATGAAGTCTTGGGAATTTGCTTCCACTGAGGCTTAGCAGAGTGTTTTCTGATACTTGATTATGGTGGAATATGGTATGAAATAAAATGATTTTAGTTATTGCACATTTAACACGTCTGCTTCCCTTTTTGTCTATTTTTCAAATAGGTTAGATCAGATTCTAAAATCAATTGTTCGGGGTAGATGTCTCATCCCCACACTACAGGCAGAGCCACAGAAGCACAAACAAGTGTATTAATTTCTCCAGTTCATGTAGTTAGAGAGACCAGAATCTTAACTTTGTGCTTTTCTTTCCAACACTGTTTTTCTCTTCTTCTCGCTCAGTTATTTCTAAAGACAAGGGACCATTAAAACCTTGGTTAAGATTATAATATTAATTTACTAATTGATAAATGTAAGAAAAATATGGCACAAATAAATTCCAACATAATAATGATAACACCATTAAAGGGCTTAATTTTAAAAAAAATTAAAGCCTAACCCAAGGATATGTTTTGATGGATTTTTTTTTTGAGAGGAGAAGAGAGGGAGAGAAACATAGATGTGAGAAAGATATATCAATTAGTTGCCTCCCATGCATGCCCAGCTGGGATTCAACCTGAAACCTAGGTATGTGCCCTGACTGGGAATTGGATCCGAACCTTGTGGTGTACAGGGTGACATTCCATCCAACTGAGCAACACCAGCCAGGACGAAGGACTTGATTTTAATAGCAAAAAAAATATTGTGGCTAAGTGCAAATCATACCCATACCTTTTGTGTCTGAGGAATGCTTTGTATGTGAATGGAAACCTCCAAGAATGATATATTATTCAAATATTCTTTTTTTAATAAAAATGCTAATGGAAATGTTAAAATGCACATAAATTAAAATGATCATAAATTAGGATTAATATCACATTAATGAATTATAATCCCACATTCATTAAGATAAAGTGGCATTTCAATATTTGCTCTTGTTAATAAATTTAATACAATAAATGAAAGGGATACATTTGGAGATTCAATAAATATTTGATGTAATCTTAGGCTTTAACTTTTTAAAATATTCAAAAGCAAAGTAGGAGATCTAGATGCATTTGAACTCTTTGTTGCTGCTTTATGTCTTTTTGAACAAATCTTTTCTTTTCATTTATTGAAGCGCTAAATACAATTTAAATTGGCAAAGAAGGCAACGGAGATTGCTGTGAATAAAAGTGATCCCAAGAGAACACAATCTTTTGAGTTTCTAAGAGTTTCTTTGAAGAAGTTTTTTTTTGTGTGTGTGTGTTTTTTTAAGGAACAAGTATGTGAAATCTCATGGTGCGATAAGTGGAACTACATTGCTATTTAACTGCATTAAACTGAAAACATGCACTTGAGCGGTATTTTCCAACTATAATTCAATGCCCTCCTTTTAAAAATTAAAACAAAAAACAAACTAAAAATATAAATTCTTGTTTTATTTTATTTTATTTAAAAAACAAAACAAAACAGGAGTCAACATAGTATTAAAAGAAGCGCCATGTATCAGAACATGCCTGTCTCCCTCTTGAGAGTAAACTGAACATTTTAAAGCCAGGAATTCTGTACCTACCATCACGTTTCAGGGGGAGGCAGGTGTTCAATGACTATGTGTTGCCATGACCTTCGATGGAGCCTGGATCCCCTGTTGCAAGTTGTTACTTTTCAGTGTTCCCATTTTTAGAAAACGTGCTCCCCCGTTCTGGCCTCAGTGCTCTTCACAAAATGGGAATAATTTTTCTAGAACAGAAGAATTGTATGGAACAAAATAAAAAACGTCCTAGACAAACATAAGATTTTTAAAAAAATATTTTTATTGATGTCAGAGAGGAAGTGAGAGGGAGAGAGAAAAAAATATCAATGATGTGAGAGAGCCATTGATCGGCTGCCTCCTGCACACCCCTCACTGGGGATCAAGCCCGCAACCTGGGCACGTGCCCTGTCTGGGAATCTAACACCTGTTGGTACATAGGTGAACGCTCAACCATTGATGGAGCCTGGATCCCTGTTGCAAAGTTGTTACTTTTCAGTGTTCCCATTTTTAGAAAACGTGCTCCCCCGTTCTGGCCTCAGTGCTCTTCACAAAATGGGAATAATTTTCCTAGACCAGAAGAATTGTATGGAACAAAGTAAAAAACGTCCTAGACAAACATAAGATTTTTAAAAATATATTTTTATTGATGTCAGAGAGGAAGTGAGAGGGAGAGAGAAAAAGAAATATCAATGATGAGAGAGAGCCATTGATAGGCTGCCTCCTGCACACCCCTCACTGGGGATCGAGCCCGCAACCTGGGCACGTGCCCTGGCTGGGAATCTAACACCTGTTGTACATAGGTGGACGCTTAACCATTGAGCCATACTGGCTGAGCACAAACATAAGACTTTAATATGCATCAGATTATTAGAATTATTTTTGTTTTTGTAAATACCGCAGGCAAAACTGAGTTGGATTCTGGGTCTACTACACTTCATTCAAAAATATGAACCTCAGGGAGGTTATTGTGTGCCTTGTCAAACATCCTTTTTCTCATGTTTTATATGAAACTAGAGGCCCAGTGCATGAAATTCATGCATAGGTAAGGGTCCCTAGGCTTGGCTGGTGATCAGGGCCGATCTATGGGGTGACTGGCAGAGCGATCAGGAGGCTCCCACTGGCACTCGCCTTGGCCGGCTTGGGGCCTGCGGGCTGGGGGCAGCTCCTACATTGAGTGTCAGCCCCCTGGTGGTCAGTGCACATCATAGAGACCGGCCATTCTGCTGTTTGGTCAATTTGCATATTAGGCTTTTATCATATAGGATATTTTAATTCATTTAGTTTTTGGTAAAAATTAAGGGAATTATGTGCAAAGTGATTTGCATGGTTCTTGGCATACAAATAGTGAACCCTAAAAGGTAGCTAGTGATAAAAACTTTAAATACATGTATTAATAAACTGAAAAGAATCTGTACATTTTTGTCATATTTTCCTTGATCTTTTTATCATTTTAAATGCATGTCAGTTTATACTAAACTGGCCAAAGTCTTTTTAAGTTGAGTTTATTGGGGTGACACTGATTAACAAAATTATGCAGATTTAAGGTGCACAGTTCTACACTTTCTCTGTATACTGTATTGTATGTTCACCACCGCAAGTCAAGTCTCCTTCTATCACCATTTATCCTCACCATACCCTCCTCTACCTCCCTCCAGTCCTCACTCCCCAGTCCCCCAGCCCCACCCTGGCCCTACTTGGCAATCACCACACTGCTGCCCATGTTCATGCATGAGGTTTTCACTTTTGCTCAATCCCTCGACACACCCCCGTTCCCCCTCCCCCCCTACCCCACCCCAGCCAACATCTGTCAGCTTGCTCTCTATGTATGAGTCTGTCACTATTTTGCTTACCATTCCAACTCATCTGTATGAATTTCATTATGTTTTATTTTGATTTATAAGAATACATTTGTGAACTTGTATGCATATATGCATAACCCATGCATGCAGACTATCGTGCAGTGAAGGCCTGGGGGTGGTGGAGGCAGGGTAGAGGGGGTCAATTGGGGAAAAAAGGGGGACATGTTAAATACTTTCAACAATAAAGATAACATTTTAAAAAATAACACAGTCGCATGGACTCTTTGTGCAGCTTCTGATTGCAGAGATTGATGAAGTTCCAATGAATGCAAAAAGAACCAACGTGATATTCAAGCAGGAGGGAGTTAAAGGAGAAAATAACGTTGCATCGCTAACCAATGTCACCTTTCATTTTAGCTGCACACAGACCTGGATCCTGGGAGCAAAAAAATCAAGTATATCCTTTCGGGCGATGGAGCTGGGACCATCTTTCAAATAAATGATATCACGGGAGATATCCACGCCATCAAGAGACTTGACCGGGAGGAAAAGGCTGAATATACGCTCACAGCTCAGGCAGTGGACTTTGAGACCAACAAGCCCCTGGAGCCTCCTTCAGAATTTATTATTAAAGTTCAGGACATCAACGACAACGCACCGGAATTTCTTAATGGACCCTATCATGCGACTGTGCCGGAGATGTCCATTTTGGGTATGTATGCAGAACTATTAAGAGTCACTTTGAACATAGCTCCCGGCATCGGGGATAGTGTGTGGCTGAACAAAAGGCATCTGTGGCTGTCTTCTCTCTCATTTGCATTTCCAAATCCCCCTTTTTTTTGGCCTCAGTGCCACAGCTCGATAGCTTTAGTCCCTTAGTAATAGGAACTGACGAAGCGGTTTTATTAAAATATCTCTCCTTCCATGACAGTCCTTCAATAGGCCGAATTTGTATTCTTCTCTTACACTTGTACTTGGAGTATTTGTTACTGAGGCGGATTTATCAAGATTTGTTCCAACATGCCAGACTAATCCTGTGGATATTTGCTTGATGGTTAATTATTTGTGCACATTCACATGCAATTGCAGTGCATTGAGAAATAGGGAGCCGTCGAGGTCTGTAGGCAGCCAGATATTGAATGGAGCTGGTAGGCCCACCCCAGAGAGGATTAGGAATCACAGATACCAGAGACTTCTGTGCAGTGGGTGTCTTACCTTAACTTTTTTTTTAAAAAGTTATATATATATATACATATTAATATATATGTATATATTAGAGGCCCAATGCACGAAATTCGTGCAAGGGGCTTGGCCCTCGTGGCCCCGCCCACTGGTCATTCTGGAAGATCATTCCACTGTCCAGTCTAATTAGCATATTAGCTCTTTATTATATAGGATATATCTTTTTTATTTCAGAGAGAAAGGGAGAGAGAGAGAGAGATAGAAATATCAATGATGAAAGATAATCACTGATTGGCTGTCTCCTGCACACCCCACACTGGGGATAGAGCATGCAACCTGGGCACGTGCCCTGGACGGGAATCGAACCCTGACCTCCTGGTTCATGGGTTGACGCTCAGCCACTGAGTCACACCAGCCAGGCTGAACTTTGTTTTAGAAGTGCCACCATCACCAAAGACCCACTCCCAATTTTTCTGAGTCATTGAAGTACTCATTACATTTTTCATAGCAGTGTATATTTCAAAACATGACTTTCTATTTTTTCTTTTTCCTTATTTTTGGAGGGATCTGCTTATCTCTCCCCAAACTCTGGCTTTGATCCTGGAAATACCCCTGTCCCAGACTTTATAATATAGACCTCTTTCTTATCTGACAAAATTAATAGGCAGGATCTAAAAATGAGAGTGTGAAATACCCAAAATCTTTCTTTTTAAAAAAATATGTATTTTTATTGATTTCAGAGAGGAAGGGAGAGGGAGAGAGATAGAAATATCAATGATGAGAGAGATTCATTGATTGGCTGCCTCCTGCACACTCCACACTGGGGATCAAGCCCACAACCTGGGCATGTGCCCCGACCAGGAATCTATGACCTCTGGTTCATAGATTGACACTTAACCACTGAGACACACCGGCCGGGCCCAAGTCATTCTTATGTATGGAATATAGACACTACTTCATTTTAAATTACATGTAAGACAACCTATAAGGATGCATACATCAAAATCAGAATACAACAAAATCGCATAAATTCGAAGTAGATGGACATGATGACACAAATTAAACACACACACACACACACAAGTAGAGACATAAATTGAAGGCCAGAATGAGGTGAGCAGCCTGGCTTTCTCTGATATCTTCTGTCTTCTGTAACGTTGGCCGATGTGCCCATTGCAGCAGCAAATCAGAATGGATTGCAGGTCTTCCCATCCCCCCCAAGTATGACTCCTGCCAACACTCTACTTTGTCAATTTTTTTGTGCAAAGAATTCTGCCTTTATTTATTTTTTCTCATCTTACCAGAATCGCATCACTCCTCTTTGGTTGGCTGAAATGACACTTTTTCTAGGGAAACTTGTATGGCTTTCCAGTAGGAAATTCTCTCTCTACTATTACTCTTCCCACAAAAAGAAACCCACAAATAAGCAAAAATATCTCCATGTGCCTACTTCTTTTAAATCCTGACATGGAAACAGAATTTGAGGAACACTCTTTCTTTCTTATTTTCTTGTTTAGGGTAGAGAACTTATTTCGTTCACCTTCTCATCCAGATAAGAGTAATACGGTTTTAAAGGGCTATGGTCACCTTCAATATACAAAGAACCCTTTATTTAAATTGCTAACAAATGGTGAAGAGGGAAGTGGTTATTTTTTGCCTCACTTAGGATTTCTACATCTTAATGGCCAAGCCTATATCTATTTATTGTAAATGTGTCAGAGGCTTCCATTTCTGTGTATATGAGTCATGTGCCTGATAAATATTTTGAGAAAGAAGTTCCCTTCTCCATCTTCGGCAGACTCCCAAGGTCAATTTCAGCTAAGAAAAGGATCGTAGAGATATTATTAGCTACATTATGCAACGTGTGTGTGCACCTGTAAATATACAGTACATAATGTTTTTCTATCTAAAAGATTTTTCTTGGTGAGAGAGTGCAGACTAAGAAAAATTAACGTTCATTAACACACACAGTTGTTTGTTTGTTTTTAAAAAAATGCCTTCTCTATTACATCTTTTTCAAAAACTACATGAAGTGTGCTGCCTGCAGTTCAAAGTGTGGGTTTGAAGTTAGATAGAAAGAGTTCTGAATCCTGGTACCATTCCTTATTATCTGGTTGACCTTGAAGTTCAGGGAGGTTCCATGATCATTCATTTTCCTTAGCTACCATGCAAACATAGGCATTTCCATCTTGCTTTCGTTGTGTGAGAATTGTGTGATCGCATACAAGGTTAAGGTGTGCCTTAAAGTAAACAGGCATCCGATAATTGATTGTGGTGGTGGTTTTCAAAAATTATTTTTATTGTCCAGCCAGTGTGACTCAGTGGTTGAGCGTCGACTTTTGAACCAGGAGGTCACAGTTCAATTCAAGGTCAGGGCACAGGCCTGGGTTGCAGGCTTGATCCCCAGTGTGGGTTGTGCAGGAGGCAACCAATCAATGATTCTCTCTCATCGTAGATGTTTCTATCTCTCTCCCCCTCTCCCTTCCTCTCTGACATCAATAAAAATTATGAAAAAGCTTATTTTTATCAATCTATTTCCCACCATACGTTTGGACCTTTCCCCATGTATCGATCTTATGTATCGCGTGTCTGATTACTGTTTGACTCCAGCCTCTCTGGGTACAGGAGGCAGAGGCAGCCGCACTATTTTATTGTCAGGTGTGAATTATTCCCTTCATTTCTCACGAAGGTGAATATCAGGATGAAGGTCACTACTATCTCCTCTCTCTCCCTATTACCACTGTTCTCAGCCTGTCTCTCCCCTCCCCTTCTCCGTTCTTTCATTTTTCTTCCTTTGCTACCACAGAAAGGCCAGCACCTGTACCTGGAATGCCAGGGAGGACTGGGGGGTGGGGAGGGGGTGGGGGGAACTTGTGCAGAAAGTGAAAAATAAAATTCTAATTGAGAAATTGGCCAAGATTACATTGAAATGAATCTGATGTTCAGGGACCGTCTGCCAGTTGACAAGCTGTCAAGACAAAACGCACATATATATTTGCCCAAATGGCAGCCGCATTATTTTAGAAATATCTTATTTGGGAGCTGGAGATACAGCTCTTTTCTATCCGCCTGTGAATCGCAGAACTTGATGAGAATTCGCTTTTATAGCAAATAAAGAGCGACCTGCGAGCATTCCTGGTTTTTACTGTGGAACCCAAACTAGCGTTGTTGAAGTTGCTTTTTCGATGCAAATGTCCCTGTGTTTATGGATTTCCAGATACTTTACGTAGATATTTTTCATGCTGTTGCAGAGTGGGGTGAGGGGTGTTTAAGCCCGATTTTATGTCGACACCTGGATTGGAGTAAAATCAGCTTTTTGAACATAGAATTCCAGGCTGTTTGGCTGCACATTTGCCTTCTGCCTGCAGAAGGGGCAGAAGCCAGGTAATCTTGCTTTCTGTCGTGCGCACAATAATCTGTACCTACAAACCCGCGTTTGGAAAAATTCAGCGATTATTTTGAAAGCATTTGGCACAGCGCAGCGCTGGTCCCCAACAAATACTAGTTTCTTTACAGCTGTCCACTTGTGAGTTCTATCAGCATGATTTTAAAAATCGCCTATATGACATGAATGCTCGACAGCCTTAACTTTATGTTTCACAGATGTGCATTTTGGAATGAACTCTGTTTTATTCAAAAGAGCATATCAGTGAAGGTCGAAGTCAAGGGATGAGAAGGCCAAGTACAGTAGTCCCTCCTTATCCGCAGGGGATAGATACATTTCAAGACCCCCACTGGATGCCAAAAATAGTCCCTGTCTATACTATTTTCCCTATATCTATGCATCTAGGATAAAGTTTAATTTATAAATTTGGCACAAAAAGAGATTAACCTCAATAACTTAACAATAAAATGGAATAATTATAACAAAATACGTTAATAAAAGATACGTAAATATGGACTGTCTCTCTCAAAATAGCTGGAATGTTCTCTTTAATATTATCAGACCGCAGCTGACTGCAGGTAACTGGAACCAGCTACCTTGCCCAGCCACACCTCGTGGCTTTTGGAATGAACAGTCCAGGCGGCAGGCAGGTAGTCAGGAACAGAGGCAGGAAACTACATAATGCTCTCTGCTCTTCTTGTCCTATCTATTGAGTCATTTCTTAATATGTAACAGACCTATGGCAACAGCTTCCAATCAGTACTCAAAATAGGTTTATTGGGGAAAAAAGTCAAATTTAATTGATAAACACTGAATTAAAAAAAGAAAAGTACTTTTTATACTTGTCCTTGAAGTATATATGTATCCTAATTTAATAATAAATTAGGTTCCTGCACCCAGTTGTGGTTTGTGGGTGTGTGTACGTGGGAGGAGGTACTTCCCACACACCACCAAGCAATTCTTGGACACCATCAGGGTGTCCTGTAATTCAGCTCAACTCTGACACTATCTTCTGGGAAGTAGCATCACTTGCCACAGGTTGAGGCCGTCCTACCCAACTGTGTGCCCACCCACCCCCACCCCAGAGGCCAGTCCTAAGTCCAGGTTGTCACCTGTGCTTCTGACCAACAGGCTATAAATCAGAG